CGCGCGCGCGTGCGTGCTTGTGCGCGGGCGCGCGCGCGTGCGTGCTTGTGTGTGAGTATTATATGGATTTGAGTGTGAAATCATCCCACGGGGATACGAAGTGAAGTAAGTTAAATTCAAGAACACTAGTTTGGGTGTGTGTGTGTGCGCGCGCGCGCGCGCGCGTACGTGTGCGCGGGCGTGCGCGCGTGCGTGCTTGTGCGCGGGCGCGCGCGCGTGCGTGCTTGTGTGTGAGTATTATATGGATTTGAGTGTGAAATCATCCCACGGAGATAAGAAGTGAAGTAAGTTAAATTCAAGAACACTAGTCTAATGATCCACCTAAAAATCACCTGATTTTAGTGTACATTTTATCTTTATTTTATACACATTTTTAATGATATTACATTTTAGTGGAAGGTATTTTGCATGTTTTTTGTTTAAGGTACATGAAATGGACATTTAGAGACAATGAGGCCAAATAGAGCAAAATTAAAGAGTTTTGTGGTGATATTGCGCCACTTCACGAGCTAACTGGGTCTATAGCGCCCCAGACTGGCACTATAGCGCCAGTTACCAACCTTCTAGAAAATGAATTGAATTTGGCCGAATTTTTTAGGGGTGTTTGAAGCAACTCTTGATTATTTTCAGAGATCTATTTAATAGGCCAAATTGTGGACGACAAAGGGGAGTTAGATAGTTCTTTTTGAGTTGTTTGGGAGGTCTTGGAAAGTTGTGAGTGTGTTTTGTGTGTTTTTGTGTTTGTGTGAGAGAGAGAGAGTTTTTGTTTTTGTGTTAGAGTTTGGAGATTGATTCAAGGAGACTCCATAATTTGCTTGGGGAGAAGACACAAGATAAGTATTTTGTATTTGTGTTTAAATTTTTTTGTAAGACTTGGTGTTTTCTTTCTGGATTTCAATGCAAATCAAGTGTTTTTATTTTAACTTCATGATTTCTGAGTAGTTCTTTTTCTTTTTCCTTGCATATGGGATTAGGCATGTAAATACATAAAATCTAAGTGGCATGTGTTTAAATATAAAAATTCAAGAAATACAACGTTGATGTCGGGCATGTAAATACATAAGTTTCAAATGACATGCAAATAAATGCATTAAGTTTTGAGAGATGTATACGTAAAATATTCAAGTTTAGATATCAAACTATTTGAGCGGCGGCGACATAAACTATCAAAGAATTGAGTAGGATGCATGTAAATATTGATGATTTAAGTGATATTTAAGTAAATTCATCGAAACAAAGTGGTCCACATGTAGGATAAATGTAAATACGAAAGTTTAAATGGTAAATAAGTAAGTTGGCAAAAATCTAATAGCATGCATGTACAGATTGGAATTTTAAGTGGTAGATATAAGGTGAGAAGAGTTGGAGTCTGTTGCCTTGCTCGATTGGATGAGGGGAGATCACGACAAGGAGAAGTGGCGTGTGGAGGCTTGGTTGGAGTTGAATGCTTATGGATTAGAGAAGAATGCATTCTATTATTATTCATTTATTTATTTTAAACCTTGTTTTCTTCTACCTTTCTTTTTGGTTTTATTATGTATATTATATATATTTTCTGGTGTGATGTGTCACGAGGAGATTTTATTTTGTTTGGGGGAGAATGTATTTGAATTACTTTTCGGATAGTTTTGGTTTTGCATGAAAATAGTTTGTCCTTGCAGGTCATGAGGATTGGGCTTTATGGGGGCTTGGGTTGACAAGTCTCATTCATGGGGATTTGAGTTAAGCATAGGTTTGAGTGGGTCACTTTGGTGGGAGGTGTAAGAAAGTCCTCCTTTTTCCCTTTAGGGCATGGTGGAATTTCCATGGCTCATATGACTCACCTATGGCTTGGAGAAGACTTCATGGCTTACATGTGGCTTAGCCTACTTTCATGAACAAGGATTTAGGAATTTTGGAGATTTTAGTGAGGTGTTTGTATAAATCTAAATGTGGGATGATTTAATCATGTATGACATGGTCTATGGTTTGATTTGATTAAATGGATGATAAAAATGAAATCTTCATGTAGACTTTGGGCTTTTCAAAGGCATTAAAGCCTTGGCTTTTGATATTTAATCATGATGGGCTCTTAAAATTTAATCATGAGATGAGAGGGTTAATTTTGGGCTTTGGTGAATTTTAGGACTTGTCATGATGAAACTTAGACTTGAAGGCTCATGGGTTCAATTTGGTGCAAATTGGATTTAGGGTTAATTTGGGGTGGTTTGACTTGTGTTTGAATTTGGATTTGGAAATTGATGGAATTGAGTTTGAATTTCGAATTGGATGTACTTGAAATGAATTTGGTGAAAATTGGAGCAATTTAGGAATTTTAATGGAATTAAGGTAATTGGACAATTTTAGGGGAGTTTGATAAGTTGGGTAAATGGAGGTTTTTGGATGTGTGTGAGAATTTGTGTTGAGTTTAAGTATGAGTGTGTAAGACCAAGCCACTCAGGATTGTTCTAAGGCATGAAAATCCTATGGGTACTTTTTTGAGCTTTCTTATTTTGGTTCCAACCTTCGAAATGCTAGAGGTCAAAACCACACATGTGAAACTTCAGAAAGAGTAAAGAAGTGGCTAGAATTTCTATAATGTGGGTGTCATCACTAGTCCTCTATAACAGTCAACAGGAAAGTCCTACGACTAGATCTTAGGCTTCTAAAGAGGAGAATTTAGACCACAACAAAAATGAAGTCAACAGAGACTTGTGTGGCAGAGCTGCAACTTTGGTTTCCTTATGTCATGGCTTTTTCTTCTCTGTATTTTGATCTTTGAGGTTTGTTTTCAATAGTGATGAAATGTTGGACGTATTAGAATTGTGGAGGTAAAACTGACTCATCCACTGGACTTGGCATGGTTGTCATGGCACTGTGGTGCTGACTTTGGGCGCTAGTTACTTGATGCCTAAGCTTTAATGTCTCGAGAGAAAAATTCACTTTGGACTTTGGTCTTAACGCTATCTCACATGATCTTTGCACTGTGACACCCCAAAAACTTCACCAAAATTTTTTATTCTTTTTTTAGAGACAAATTTGCATGTAAAATACACAATTATGAAGAAATTATAGAAAATTATTAAATAAAAGCACGCATTTTTTTTTATTTTTCCTAAGTTTTTCTCACTCAATAGAACTCAAATTCAAAGATTGCTTGTCCCCCAGTAGTAATCGATTTATCTAAATCGTATAACATAAAGCATCGAGTTGCAATTATATTAAAGGTTATTCACAAAAAAGTTCATATCAACCTTCAAATAATTCAAGAATCCATTTAGACAAGTAATATCATAATTTTCTTACATAAATTTAATATTATTTCAATTTAAGTTGCCTATGTGTTTAAAGTGCAAAACTGAATAAAATTCCAATTAAAGTGCAAAACTGAATAAAATTCCAATTTATATTTCAATTATAAATCTCTCCTACAACAAGTTGGTGGGAGAAATTCCATCAGGAGGCCAATTCTCCACTTTCCCAAGCGCTTCGTTTGAAGGAAATAAGGGACATTGTTGGCATCCTTGCAATACGTCTGTTCCAGTGGTGAATAATAAAGTGACAAGTTTGGGTGACACAACTTCAGAGAACAGAATTAATAAGATTGTGTTGGGATTATTATTTGGTGTGGGACTTGGAGGGTCGATGGCAGCTGTTATAGTGGTTGTTGTCATGTGTTGTGACAGAAACAGGGGGCGGAGAAACATAAGACAAACTCATGAATAACATGCATGAAATTCTATTTGACTTTGGTATTTTTAGGGGTAAACATGTATGTAAAATACACAATTATGCAAAAGCTACAGAAAATTACTAAATAAAAGCACATTTGACTTAATAAAACTCTTAAACTAACATTACTTGTCCCCAAGTAATCTATTCATTTAAATCTTATAACATAGACCATTGAGTAGCAATTACATTAAAGGTCATTCACAAAAATAAAGAATCTAAGAAATATAAAAATTAAAGTTCATATCAACCTTCAAATAATTCAAGAATTCATTTTGACTAATAATATCATAATTTTCTTACAAAATTTAATATATTCCAATTTAAGTTGCCTATTATTCTATCTTAAACTCTTCTTTATAGTTTCTAATTTTTGAATATCTATTTTGAGTATTGTAGTTTAAATGATCCTAATCTAATTTTAACTTATATCTATAAATTGGCTTAAAATTTTAACATCACTTAATTAATCAGATTAGATTTTAGTCCATCGTGTTTTTGAGTATTAGGTTTCTTAAATTTAGTAAATATATTAATTTAAATAAATCAATTAGTGTTCTTATACCTATTTGAAATTCAAGAAAATTCTAATTGTTTAATAATTCTTATAGTCAGTATACTCCAAGTTAGATTATTGTATACATGTGATGGAATGACTTGCGAAGAGATAAAGAGGAACATGCCTGAGGAATATGAGTATGAAAAGAAAGTGCAGGATATTGCTTTTCAGTCTTACCTAATGACTTCATTTGGATTTCAATTTTTAACTTATTATTTTGGAACTCAAAATTAGTTATTCACTAATTGTTTTCATAGAATATATAGCAAAAAGTTGCATCAGCATAGAAGCATATTTAGTCATTTAGATTATTGTATAAGGTTGCCAATGTGATGCAAGGGTAAATATCCCAATATATCCGCTTGTTCTTTTGTTTTTTGGGCATTTGCATACGCAGCTCATACTTCTTATGTACCTACCTATCTCTCACACCAAAGCTTTCATATCTACACACAAATCACTCAAATTTTTAATATCACCGTAAAAATAGCACTAATACCACTTTTTAGAAGTGAAATACACATTTTCATACCTAAGTCTAACACCAAAATATTATATATGTAAATATGAAAGTTTCGTTGTGGGATATATAAATACATTAGAATTGTTTGCTAGGCATGCAAATTTCTTCTTTTTTTTTTTTCTTATGACTACAGATCTCGTCAGAAAGACAAGCTATGCTATCGTTATGCTTGTGCTGAATCATATCTTGATATCATACAAAGGTTGATGGGTAAAAGAGCTTATTTTGTTGGAATTCAATTTTTCAACCTAACTTAAAATTGTTATACATTTTACTATTTTTTTCACACACTCAGGTTGGAACCCATAATTATTGAGCTTCAAAGACAACGTGCGCCTATGGTGGTTATCGCTCACCAGACCTGTATTATGAAATTATTATATTCATTTTTATTGAAATATTTCTTTTTTTTAGTGAATATTATTTTTTTATTTTCTATGCACAAGCTGTGTTGAGAGCTTTATATGCATATTTTGCAGACAAGCCTTTAAAAGAATCCCCCAAATTGAGGTAATGTCATGAAAGTACTACTTCCCGATGAATAGCTTAAAGACTGAGATGCATCTTTCCAATGTTGCTTTAGGTCCCACTCCATACCATAATAGAGATCCAGATGGGGGTGACTGGTGTCCAAGAGAAACGTTATAAGCTTATGGATTGAGATGGTAGACTCAATGGATCAAGAAACTCATTCATTATCTTTCTACTCTTAATATGTAAATGAAACATCTTAAATTATCTTTATTTCACAATTTTTTGTTCTTTATCTTTGTCCTCGTCATTTGTTTAACACAAGCATTGAACGACATAACTCTTTTTGTGAACAAATTCTTTTCTTATATGCACATTCAGTTTAGTTGCCTTGCATATAAGTTTGGTTAGTTGACTTAAATAGATCTCGTCAGCAGTCTAAAGTTTTGATCTTGTTATTCAAATAAGAATTAGGTACTTGTTAATAACTATTGGCCTGTTGAAATTATTGCTTCTCTTTTTAAAATGTTTATATTAAAGTTAAATCTTTAGATTTCAATCTGTCATTTTTTTTTAAATAGTTGACAAATTCTTTGTTTGAGGCTTGATACGTTGGAGGACATGAATGACATGTTGTAGAACATATTGCTACTGTCTGTAAGATTATTTTGATGTAATTTATATTACCTATATTTTAGAGCAAATATTTCTTAGCTTGTCTTCAAAATTTTGATGGAAAATATAACTGTTAGCAGATTAAACTCATGAGGGAGATGATTTTTCTTAGTTAGTCCCTCCAAAGAGGCATTGTTGTAACATGAGAATTGATGTTTTTTAAGGCACTCCTTCAACCATTGAAATTTTTTCTTGCTTATGTCAATCCATTCAAATTTAGCATTCTTATGCAACTGTCTAAACACCTTATGTTAGAGCTTGAATATTATTTATTTTTGGGGCATTTATATAAATATAAATATCAAATTTTAGTTTTTTGTTACAGAAAAATTTATGGTATATAGATGTAAAATTTCTTTAAAAAAATCATGAAGATAAAATAATTTCACAGATTTTTATAGGAAAAATATATGATATATCATTTCAGCCAATTTAAATGATAAATGACAATTTATATGGTTTATGACATGAAATCCGAGCTTTTCAATTTTCTGTTTTTCATCCAATAATTAAGAAAAAAATATGCTTTTATAGAAATAATATTTGTTAAACAATTTAAATATATTTGTCTAGGCCCGCGGCCCGACCCTTCACATTTAGTGGGCCCGATTGATTATAAAATTCTAAATATAAATCAGGTTCAAACTTGGCCTGAATCTGTTTTGACTAGCCAAGGCACGAATAAACCAAACCGACGCTAAGATTAGCTCCCCTAATTTCTAAGTCCAGTCGAAATTTATTATGAATCTTAAAGTCAGCGTGGGGGTGATGTATTGCTAGTTTTTGCATAGGCCCCAACGTTTCATTTTATATTCTACTTATTTTTTATTTGTGTTTTGATAAAGAATAAAAATATATTTATTATCATAAATACGAGTTGTTTTTTTTTTAATTACTCATTTATGGCTCCCTTCATGTAAAATATAGAAGTTTATGTAAATTAATAAAAACTAAATAATCCAAAATATTTTTGAAATAATAGGCGAAATTCTCTAATTTATTTATTTATTTTTTTATCTCATAATATTTATACACAATACATTATTTTAATATTAAAAAATTGATTGATTGAAAAGTAATAATAATAAATTAGAAGAAAAAGAAGGAAAAAAGCTAATTTAGGCTTGCCGGTCTTAACACGGAAAGGCAAACTATTGCCTACTTTTCTTTGGAAGATATTCATAGACGTTACTCAATTCTTACGTATTTACATATTTTAACACTTAAGAAATTTCTTCTTACATGTATGCCACATTATTTTTACATGAAAAAAAAAATATTTTATTTTTTAAAAGTTAGAATAATTATAATTTTGATATAATATGAAAGATTTGGGTGATATATATAAATACCAAAATATAGGTGTTTGGCATGTAAATATATAAGTGTTGGGTGGCATGTACGTAAATGCCAGCAACAAAGACTTCAAGCCAACTACCGCGTCCTACATCCGAGTCTTACAATTGACTTACGCTTATTGCCTTCTTCTACCTTTTCCGCCTTCTCCCAAATCAAACCGCTACGCACTCTTCTGTATGGAGCCACTTCAATACAGCAGTAGCTTCACCGTCTTCCTTCTCCTACTATTTCTGGCACTCTCTCTTTTTTTGGAGCCTTTCTCGATGGTTAACTGCAAAGCTCTTGAACAATGCCTCCAGAAAGAGAGCTCGGCGCTTCTCCAGCTGAAGCGAGGCTTCATCACTGGTGAGCTCGATACGTGGCAGCCCGGGACGGCCTGCAGCTCTCGGGTGGAAATCGGGGCGGGTCCCGGGCCTCGACCTAAGCAATCGATCCATCGCCGGTACGATCGATCCTATCCTCTTCAATCTCACATCTTTAGAAACCCTCAATCTTTCCAATAACGAGTTCCACAACGGATCTATTCCGGATTCCGGGTGGGAAAGGCTTACAAATCTTTCAATTCTCAATCTGTCTGGGGCACTATATATCGAGAAGGTCCCCGTTGGTATCTCTCGCTTGACGAAGTTAACTTCCCTTGACCTCTCCGGCAATGGGTATCCTTTAACTGCTAACCCAATAATTCTGCAAAATATGAGCAATTTAAGGGTACTTAATCTAGACTATGTAAATCTCTCGACATACGGAGTTGAATGGTGTGGTGCTCTTACCAATTACACCCCCGCCCTCGCTGTGCTGAGAATGATAGATTCTTCCCTCTCTGGGTATTTTCCGAACGAAATCTTTTTTCTGAGAAATTTGAAAGAACTTGATTTATCAAACAATCAAATGCTTTCTGGTTCTCTTTCTGATTTTCCAGAATACAGCAATTTAGAAACTTTGTACCTTTATGGCACCAATTTCTCTGGGAATTTACCTGATACAATAGGAAACCTCAAGTTTTTGACTGATTTGAATCTCGGAGAATGTCAATTTTCTGGTAAAATACCGACTTCGATGGGGAATCTATCACGACTAAAATGGTTGTATCTATCAGACAACAATTTTTCCGGTACTGTTCCATTTTTCCTTCCATTTTCAATGATTTCTGAGCCAAAACATAATGGCCTATCATTGTCAGGCGCTAACACTTGTCTGAATGGCAACCTATGCAACCTCAAAGAACTTGATCTTTCCGATAATTCTTTCTCTGGACCAATTTCTGCTTCTGTCTTTACACTGCCGGCTTTGGAAAAGCTGCAACTTCAGCAAAATCAATTCTCTGGGCAACTTGGAGAGTTCTCAAATGCATCCTCTATGTTGACTTATGTTGATCTTAGTAACAATAAATTGCAGGGGCAAAGCAGGGGCAAATTCCAAATTCCAAGGTCAATTTTTAAGCTATCAGGGCTTCAAAGACTTCACCTGGATTCGAATAATTTCAGCGGAGTTGTGGGGTCAGAGTTCATAAAGGGTCTCAAAGATCTGGGTTGGTTATCCCTCTCAAACAACAAACTTACCGAAATTCCTCTATTCATAAAATATCAAAATAATAGTTTTCGTTTGGAGCTCTCAAAAAACAAACTGACTGGAGCAATCCCAACATTCTTCTGCAACTTGACCAACCTGGAGTTACTTGATTTATCTGATAACAAGTTAATTGGTTCTATCCCGCCATGTTTATTAGAAAGTAGTCTCGAGTCTCTCGCTTATTTGAACTATTCAAGCAATAACTTGACCGGGGAAATCCCAACATTCATCTGCAACTTGAATCAACTTCAGACACTTGATCTATCGAATAATAAGATAAATGGTTCTATTCCACCTTGTTTATTAAAAAGAAGTAGTCTCAAGGCTCTCAGTTATTTGGACCTCTCAAAAAATAAACTGATTGGAGAAATCCCAACATTCATCTGCAACTTAACCAACCTGGAGATGCTTGATTTATCTGATAATAAGTTAACTGGTTCGATTCCATCATGCTTATTCGAAGAAGAATCCAGTCTCCTCATGCTAAATCTGAGAGGAAATCAGCTTTATGGAGCTATCCCTCATGGAGTTACTCCAAATTGTAAGCTGCAACTTATAAATCTTAGAGACAACCAACTGGAGGGACTGCTTCCGAGGTTTCTGTCTAATTGTCGATCACTTGAACTTCTAGACCTAGGTAACAATAATTTAAAGGATGTATTTCCTTATTGGTTGGGAAATATTTCCACTCTAAGGGTTCTTATTCTAAGATCTAATAAGTTCTACGGGTTAGTTGGGCCCCTTGATGGAAACAAGAAAACAAATTATACGTTCTCTGCATTGAATGTCCTTGACATCTCATCCAACAAATTTAGTGGCAATTTAAGTGTAATTTGCTTCAGCAATTTTAAGTCAATGATGATAAATCCAACAGATGTAATGCAGTCTTCTGTATCTAATTTGTCGGATGCTTACTATTCTCTTGTTGTGCTTACCATCATGGACAAAGGCCAAATAATGATGATACAAAGATTCTGGACGATTATAAAGTCAATAGATATTTCCAACAATTATTTTGAAGGAGAGATCCCTATATCCATTGGCGAACTTGTCTCTCTCCAAGTGCTCAACTTATCACAGAATCACTTGATAGGAAAAATTCTTCCACAACTAGAACATTTGTTACAACTCGAGTCATTGGATCTCTCAATGAACAACCTTTCTGGTAAAATCCCACAAGAGTTGGTTTCTTTACATTTTTTGTCATTTTTAAATCTCTCCTACAACAAGTTAGTGGGAGAAATTCCATCAGGAGGCCAATTCTCCACTTTCTCAAGCGCTTCATTTGAAGGAAACAAGGGGCTTTGTTGGCATCCTTGCAATACGTCAGTTCCGGCGGTGAATAATAAAGTGCCAAGTTTGGGTGACACAGCTTCAGAGAACAAAAGTTATAAGATTGTGTTGGGATTATTATTTGGTGTGGGACTTGGAGGGTCGATGGCAGCTGTTATAGTGGTTGATGTCATGTGTTGTGACAGAAGCAGGAGGTGGAGAAACATAAGACGTACTCATGAATAACATGCATGAAACTCTATATATATATTGCCAACTTGAGGACCTAATACTTATTTGGCTAACGAGTGTTGGCTCTGCGTATTTTAACTCATAGTTAGCCTGTGAGCATTTGTATAAATATCATCTAATGCTTGTTATCTTTGTATTATGTAATCTGTTCTTTGCAGTAGTTTGTAAAAAGCTTGTTATTGTCTTTGAGAGTTTTTCTTCTCTCATAGTTTTTTTCTCTATTTGTTTGTTTATTCTTTTTTTAGCGATAGTTTTTTTTATTTTTTTAATTGATATCTGATTAATAAATTTCTTAATTTTCCATAAATTTGTATAAAAACATAAAAAAAATTAGCTCAAAAGTTGCATTTATTAAAAATATTTCACTTAAAAAAATTGATAAAAAATTAAATATTTTAGTTGTATTATAGATTTATGTTAACTATTAAGTAAATAGATAAATAGTTTAGTATAAAATAAATTAATTTAAAAGATATTTTTTGATAAATATATAATTTTTTTCTAAATCATCCTTTTGTATATTTAATGTATGTTTGATGTTAGTAGCTATAATTTTGGTGTTGACAAGTCATCTCTTGTATTATTATTTACCTTCACATTCAATATTCGTATTAGGCCACGATATGACCAAAAGCGGTCCCATAAGACCAAAAGTTAAACCTTGAATTAATTGTGCCAAATTTATAGCATATATGATTACCTTTTAATAAGCTAATACTTTTGAAGGTTTGAAAAGTTTCTCTTACTATTAATAAGATTTCAATGCAAGATCCCCTTCATATGGATTCATAATTTATAAAAGAATTACAAAAATTAAATTAAATGATATAAGTTGTCAATCGAAAATATTAATTGTTTAAGACCTCTATAAATAACAATAAAAACTCATTTTCAAAACCCTAAGTCATATATATTTATGTTCGTAGGCAACTAAAAAAAGGAACATGCACATTTCCCTATTGATAGTGAAGTTCATAAAAATATGTCTATTTTTCTAAGGGTCCGTTTGGGGCAGCTTATAAGTGCGGGCGGTGCCGTACCGTTTGGTTTGTGCGTTTCGCCAGCTTATCTGAAACTGCGTTTGAGTTTTTACACTAAAAGCGGGCCGCGGGTCGACCCCTGTGGCCGGCCCACGGGCCGCGTTTCAGGATAAACAGCTTATCCTGAAATGCACAAGCTGCCCCAAACATACCCTTAATCTACGTTGTAAATTCTCTTTGGAAAATAAGGATCATGTTGACATCTCAATTTCACACAACATTATAAGCAATATGATCGCTACTACTAATTGCTAAATAAAAATGAAATTTTATAAGTGACACTTCAAAAGTTTTAAATTCTTAAACTTAATTCTACATTGATTTGTTGAACTTAGAATTCCATAGGAAGATAAACATTTAGCCTAACATGAGAGTAAAGTAAAACCCACAGACCTCTTCATTGTAATAAAAAAAATGAGATAACAAATATTCAAAGGAAGAGATAAGATAGAAAGGTTAAATTCGTTGAATTGACAAATTCTGCAAGATCTCCTTTGAATAGTAGCCTTGCTTTACCAAAATAATGTGAACTGTCACTTGAACTCTGTTACAATGACTTCACACAGTAAGAACTCATGCTAGGGACTCACTATATGAAAATACTCACAAAAGAAAATTTCTAGCTCTCCCAAACACTGTCCATAACACTCTTTATCTAGAAAACCATTTGAAAACTACTCCCCCTCCAAGCATTTGAATTTTTCCTTCAATAAATATGTTGTCGAGGTTGTCAAAATATGATTCAATAATTATGGCATTGCAACACTAGCTCTAGGCTCTGACACTCAAATCTTGCCCTATGAGAATTTGGTGGACGGGTTGCAACTCTGGGTTCCGTATGTCATGGCTTTGTCTTCTCTATCTTTTGATCTTTGAGGTTTGTCATCGATAGTAGTGCAATACTGGATGTAGTAGGTTTCATGAATTCATTTAGACTAATAATATCATCCTTCAGTGCCAAAGTATTACAAATATAAATATCAAAATTCAGGTTTTTGTAACAGAAAAAATTATGGCATAGATGTAAAATTTCTTCAAAAAAATCAAGTAGATAAAATAATTTCAACCAATTTAAATGATAAATGACAATTTATATGGTTTATGACATTAAATGTGAGCTTTTCAATTTTCTGTTTTTAATCCAATAAGTAAGAAAAATATGTTTTTATAGAAATGATATTAGTTAAATAATTTAAATATATTTGTCTAGGCTTGCGGCCCAACCCCGACCCTACGCATTTAGTGGGCCTGGTTGACTATATGATTCTAAATATAAATCACACTCAAGCTTGGTCTGAATCTGTTTTGACTAGCCGAGACACTAATAAACCAAACCCATGCTAAGATTAGCTCGCCTAATTTCTAAGTCTAGTCGAAATATATTATGAATCTTAAAATCAGCATGGTGGTATGACATGTGATGTATTGCAAGTTTTTGCATGGTCCCCAACATTTCATTTTATATTCTATTTATTTTTTGTTTATGCTTTGATAAAGAATAAAAATATATTTATTATGATAAATATGAATTTTTTTTTATTACTCCTTCATGGTTCCCATCCTGTAAAATATATAAGTTTATATAAATTAATAAAAACTAAAGAACCCATAATATTTTAGAGATAATAGGCGAAATTCTCAAATATTTTTTACTCATTTTTTATCTCTTAATATTTATACATACTAAATTATTTTAATATTAAAACATTTTGATTGAAAAGTAATAATAATAAATAAGAAGAAGAAGATGAAGAAAAACTAATTTAGGCCTCTTTGCCTTATACGAAAAAATCTGATTCTATTTTTATGTATTTACATATTTTAACACTTCAAATATCTTCAGGGACTTGATTTATCGAATGACAAGCTAAATGGTTCTATTCCACCGTGTTTATTAGAAAGAAGTAGTTTCGAGCTTCTCTCTTCTTTGAACTATGCAAATAATAACCTGACTGAGGAAATCCCAACATTCATCTGCAACTTGACCAACCTACAGACACTTGATTTATCGAATAATAAGCTAAATGGTTATATTCCACCGTGTTTATTAGAAAGTAGTCTCGAGATTCTCATACATTTGGACCTCTCAAAAAATAAACTGACTGGAGAAATCCCAACATTCATCTGCAACTTAACCAACCTGATATTGCTTGATTTATTTGATAACATGTTAACTGGTTCGATTCCATCATGTTTATTAGAAGAAGGATGTGGTCTTCACATTCTAAATCTGAGAGGAAATATGTTTCATGGAGCTATCCCTCATGCAGGTACTCAAAATTGTAAGCTGCAAACTATGAATCTTAGAGACAACCAATTGGAGGGACTGCTTCCGAGATTTCTGTCTAATTGTTGGTCACTTGAACTTCTAGATCTAGGTAATAATAACTTCAAAGATGTATTTCCTTATTGGTTGGGAAATTTTTCCACGCTAAGGGTTCATATTCTAAGATCTAATAAGTTTCACGGGTTAGTTGGGCTTCTTAAGAGAAACCAGAGAACAAATTGTACATTTTCTGCATTGAATGTCCTTGACATTTCTTCCAACAACTTTAGTGGCAATTTATGTGCAAAGTGCTTTATCAATTTTAAGTCAATGATGATAAATACAACACAGGTAATAGAGTCTTCAGCACTTAATTTATCGGATTATTACTACTCTCTTTTTGTGGTTACCATCATGGACAAGGGACAACTAATGTCGATACATAATTTCTGGACAATTATAAAGTCAATAGCTATTTCCAACAATTATTTTGAAGGAGAGATCCCTATATCCATTGGCCAACTTGTCTCTTTCCAAGTGCTCAACTTATCACAGAATCACTTGCAAGGAAAAATTCTTCCGCAGCAAGGAAATTTGTTACAGCTCAAGTCACTAGATCTCTCAATGAACAGTCTTTATGGTAAAATTTCACAAGAATTGGTTTCTTTACATTTTTCATAATCTCTCAATGAACTGTCACTAGATCTCTCAGTTTTAAACCTCTCCTACAACAAGCTGGTGGGAGAAATTCCATCTGAAGGCCAATTTTCCACTTTCCCAAGCACTTCATTTGAAGGAAATAAGGGGCTTTGTCGGCATCCCTGCATTGCATCAGTTCCAATGGTGAATAATAAGGCGCCATCAACTCCAAGTTTGGGTGGCACAACTTCAGAGAACAAAAGTTATAAGATTGTGTTGGGGTTATTATTTTTTTTGGAATTTGGTGGGTCAATGGTTGTTGTTATAGTGATTGATGTCATGTTCTGTGGTAGAAGCAGGAGGCGGAGACGCATAAGACCTAGTAATGGATAATATGCATGAAACTCTATCTATTAAGGGAAACACACACACTATATATATATATATATATATATATTTAGATATATATATATATGTATATATGTATATATATAGATATATATATATATATGTATATATGTATATACATATATATAT